AAAAGTAGAATGGTGTTTAGGAGCTTCACCTGTGATCCTGGGAAACCTATTTTTCCTGGAGGACCATCGGAACCCTTCAGTGAAGAGAAAAGATAAGATAATCAGTGTTGTATATGTACTATTCCTTAGATAAAACGGAAGACTAGTGCAGTTCGCCGCCCATTTATTTTAAGTGTTTGTCTTTGAAAAAAATATGTAATTGCTATGTTCATACAGTTCAACTGCATAATTTTATTGAGTAAATGCCAGCACTCTTACCTTCTTGCCCTCTGACCCCATCTCTCCTGTTGGACCATCAGGCCCCATTGCTCCCTGAGAAAACAAGACATGTGTCACTTCACCAACAGAGGTCACTGTAGCACCGCCAGACAAAACAAAACAAACAGTATGTCCTCATGTGAGGGTCGCAATATCTGTAAACTGCACTTCTACAAAAAAAAAAAATATATATATATATATATTTTTTATACTAAAAGGTGGCTGGCCTTTCTAGTAGTGAAACTCACTGATCTTATCCTAACATTGATTTTTACCACTGGATTCAGGGCAAAAGAGTTCAAACTTAAATACACAAAAGATCAACACAGTTCAACTGTTTATCTTACATGAGTGAAACCTTCAAACATAATTAATCCAAACTGCTGCAAACTCCCACTAGTCCAGCGACCAATACAAACAAATATAAGTCAGGGCAGCGTTCCAATACGCTTCATCTGCTTTGCACCTGCGTCCAGTCAAATTTCATAGCTTTACTCTGGAAAATGCAGCATTACCGACATAGCGATGCTCACTAATTAACAGTGAATACATAAAAAATCTCGATCAGGCGCCTGGTTGTTGGTTGTTACATAAGTCGTGTTTTGTTTTTTTTAATCCATGGCAAGTTTCTCAGGACATCACACTGAAGGAGGCCTTGTTGTTTGACTGATTGATGACCAGGCGCAGTGGGAGTCTGGCCCAGAGGCAATAACAATAGCTGAAGTGCTATAAGCCTATTATACATAGAGCTGGATGGCCACTGCTCATTAACATTCCTGTCTGGGGTACCTGCTTCCCGCTGGTTCCGTTTATATTGGCTGATTAGCTGATGAGTAGGGAAAATATTCCCCCCCACCGCCCCTTCACTTCCAGACAAATAATTAACAAAAAGAAATGAGCTACATCCAGTAACTTTAATGTGCCGCGGATTCAAGACTCTTTTCTGACTAACAAAAATGGCAGACAAAATGAATACCAAAAGCATGAATTCAACCAGTTCAATTTAAACCACCTCAGAAGCAACCACAGACTGCTGAGTGGTAGGAATAATGCTCTGCAACATGGTACATATAAACTCCTCAGATAGCCAGAGAAATCATCTGTTCCAGATATTTTAAAAATTTAAATGTTGGATTTGTAATACTTGGGACTCTGATTTAATAATTTCAAGTAGTTTTTAAGCACACAGATATAATGCAGTCCAAGAGCTTTTCCACATGTTGTAACATTAAGACCACAAATGTTAACATACTTTATTGGGATTTTATGTGAGAGATTACCACAAAATGGTGATAATTGTGTTGTAGGAGGAAAATATGCATTATTAATATTTTAGTTTTTTGGTAAAAAGCACCAAAGTGTAATATGCATTTCTGCCACTTTTTCAGTCAGTTTTACCATTTGTCACTATTAAATTTGCACATTATTTGCAATAAGCCTCCACCAGCTTTTCACATCTAGAGACTGAAAGTTATGTCATTTCTACTCAGGTAAAAAAAAAACCTAGAGACTGGAGAGGGAACTGGTGTGAACATACATATACATTTTCCAAGTCTTTTGAATCTCAATGGGATTTAGGTCTGGACTTTGTTTGGCCCATTCTAACACATGAAAATGATTTAATCCTCAACCAATTCATTGTTGCTCTGGCTTTCTGTCGCTCTTCTGCTGGAAGCTGACTCTTCGCTCTAGGCAGTGTTTTGTGTCAATCTGACCTGAACACATTCTGCCACATGTTTTCCGGGTCCTCTGGCTTGTGGCAAACTATAAACAGGACTTCTTGTGCTTTTCTTTGCCTTTCTTCTTCTTCTTCACAGGAATGACTTGCGGAGTGCACGACTGTATAACCTAATCCTGTCTTAATCCCCTAAACAATTTCATCCCTGACCTGTCTTGTGTGTTCCTTTCCTCTGATTACGCAGTTTGTTTAAAAGAAAAAAAAAAAGCTCTGAGACCTTCACAAAACTACTTTATACTGAGAATAAAGTCTGCAACACTGCCGAATTATGGGACTCTAGGAAAGTTGGACTGAATTTATTCAGTGTAAAGGGAGCTGAATACAACTGTGCCCTACATGTTTGAGGTATTTCTTGGTAAATTGTTGGAAAACCATTAATAATTTTTTGCTCATTTCACATTATGCAACAATTTGTGTAAGTTTCTCACACAGAAACTCAACGCAGCATTTTGAAGCTTGTGATTGTAACACGACAGCATGAAGGTACTGAGTTAGGTGAGTGAAAATAAAGACAGCACTGGATCCAATTTTTTTTTAATGTTCTGAAGCCATCCTGCAGACACTTTCACATTAATCAGCATTTTAAGTTTTGAATCTGAGTAAAGGCAGATGTTTTTCTGTCACTGTTATTTTCTACTTCGAGCTTTACAGATAAAAGACATAATGGTGCATATGATACAGCTGATATTTTTTTTAACTGTACCCAGTCTCATCCTACATCTTCTTATAAGTCGTGTCAGCCTTATTTTTTAAGCTGCTGATGAGTGTTATTTTCGAAAAGAAAAAGATTATTTTTCCGTAACTTGTTTCTTGGTGTGATGAAATGATGTTTTGTGTAGGTAAATGAATCATTCAGCTTTCTAATCTTGGACAGAGCAGGGGAACCTGTTGACATTAGCACCAACCAAAAACACACACTGGAGTGAGAGTGTGCCCAGGCCAACCACAGCAAGGCCAGTGTTACATAAAGGCTGCTGAGAAAAATCAAAAACCTCAGGGTTATTTTCTTCTCCTCACATGGTTAACAGGAATAAAAGTTGTCTAAACTTAGAACTAAGATTCTTAGATTATATAAACGTACATTTAAAATATTTCGGCTGACTTACTCTTCTTTGCCTTGAAAACAGAAAACAAACATGACTATATTAAAGCCACTGTCTCCAGTATTTTAAAGTATTATTGGTGCATAAGCTTTGAGAGCAAGGTATTCTTTTTATTTCAGTCTTGTATTCATTTCAAATTGTCTATCTGTCTTTAACAGAGGGGGAAAAAAATGCCAGAACGAAACTGACCATCAACCAACATCATCATTATCATCATTATCATGTGTGGATGATTATCTTTGGCGCTGATGTAGAAGATGGTCAGAATTGTTGTAAAAAAATGGATGGAGCTACAATCAAAGTAGCCCTCCAGGAAAACTTCTTAGAGGGTTGAAAACTCTTCAACTCAAACTTAAATCTGATTGAGAATCTGTGGCAAGAAAGACGACATGCTCACACTCCAATGCTACTGAGCTTAGGGTGTTTTGCAAATAGAGGGCATTTAAAAAAAAATCAATTTAAATGTGCTGTTTTATGCAAACCAAAAGGCTTGCGGACGTGGCTGCTTGTAAAAGTAGTTCAACAAAGTACTGATTCAGGGGAGCTGAGTCAAATATATAAAAAGTATGGCATGCCACATTTTTTTATAGATTTTTATTTGTTAAAAATGTAAATGCATGTATCCTTTTGCAGTGACTTAACAATGATGTACTACTATTTATTAATCCATTACATAAATGTATGTAAAATTCCTTTAAGTTTGCTGATGTAAAGTGAAACGACGTCTCTTAGGAAGCTTGATATCACCTCACTGGGTTCCTGATGTTTTGTAGTCGTGCAGAAGTAGCTGTATATTCTTCTCATAAACAAACAGCAGAATATTTACACACTTGCTTGAGCCAAACTGACTGGTGCTGGGACGCCTTCACCGCAGATCAGCGATTAAAGCTTGTGTCAACCCGCTAACTTACCCGCAAGCCTTTGGGTCCTCTGGTGCCGGCTGGCCCACTTGCTCCGGCAGGGCCCTTATGAACAAAAGAAAGAAAAAAAAGGGAATAAAGGGGAAAGGAGATGGGGCAGAAAAAAGAGAAAAAAGGATGGAAAGATAAAACAAAGGTTTACACTGACAGACCAGAGGGCCCCCATGGCTATTGACCCCAGGGAGGGAGCAGCCTGACCTCGGGAACACAGTATAGGGTTTGTTGTTAGATCTGTCACTCACACCAATTAAAGAGCCCTCTCCGGAATCCTGTCCTGCTGCCCCCAAAGCTCCATGTTTATGTTTGTTTTGGTGGCTCAGTGGCCCCCACTTTGAACAGGGGCAGGGCCTGCGCTAAGCCAAGCGGGGGCCACGGTAGAGACACACCTCAGGGACAAGGGGGGCCGGCAGCAGCTTGTAATTGGTTATAGGTGTTTGGTTTATGACTGACAGGCGGATAATGCACATTCAGCAGGAGGCTGTCAAAGTTCATAATGCTCAGGAAACCTCTGCAGCATATTGAGAATACTAGCCCTGCAGAATGAGATCGCCTGCAGTTGCGAAACTTACAGTTCTAGTAAAAAGAGCATTCAGTGATTTTTTTTTTGAGTGCAAAATTTTAAAACAAAAAGGACTCCTCCTTTTTTTTAAATTTTGCACTAAAAAAAATAAAATAAAATAAAAAAAAAATAAAAAAAATGAAAAAATAAAAGTGATGACTTACTGGTCTTCCTGGAGGTCCAGGAGGTCCAGTCTGACCTGGCGTCCCTGGGTGACCCTGTCGTGTTTGCACAAATGCACAAAAGACATACAATCCAACTTTAAATTACAAAAGAAAATGATACAGAGGAGCTTTCACGGTTTATTAATAACACATATTGCTAATTCTGCAGCTCTTGCAGTGACTGGAAAGAAGTTTCTCCAGAGATAATTCTCCAATTTGGAATTAATTACAGACGTGTTCACGTTAATTTAGTGTAAATCAACTAGACTGCGCAGAGTTTTCTTAGAAGGAATGTATCGAGTTTCCTGCTGGAGTAAGACTCTGTGCTTCAAAACAGATTTAATGCGCAAATAGGGAAAATCAGAGAGGCCCGAGGAAAATCAGCTTGAGGAGCTGATTTTATATAAGAAAACATGCCACTTCTGGCTCCTTTTCTCTCTCTCGCTTCTTTTCTTTTTTCTTTATTTTATTGGACTCGATTTACTGGCCGGCCCATTTGTAGAAGACGAACGGAATAATGGGGAATGTTTTGGTCAGACTCCCCAGAACATCTGAGAACAATAAAATCCATTCAGTCTGCCGGCCTCGCAGCGTAGTAGGCACGTCTGACGTCACGAGCACACAGAAATAAAACATCGACGCTTACAGTAAGAGCTTTCTGTTAGCAGCTTCTCCCATTTTTAGCGATGCCTTCTTTTTTTCCAAAGGGTCTGTTTCTGCTTTGGAGATGAGGAAGAGAGCCAACAGAGAGCTTCCTTTAAAGTGAGAATGTGTACGACTGGTAATGTTCTCGGGGGGGAAATCCAGCTGGCTCCGAGCCAACAGCAGTGATAACTAAATCTTCCTCCTCTCCAAACAGCCATATACACTGAGTGGTCCATAAAAGAAAAAAAAAAGTGAAACATTAAAGTAGCCATTTTTCTGTATTTGAAAGTGTATATAGTGTATAGGTTTGTTTTTCTGACCAACTTGGAGCTTTGTCAAAGAAAACATCTCAACTATGCCTCACATGTGTCTAGACTGAATAAACATTTGTAGCTGTTGAAACAAAAGGGAAGTGTGTGCAGTAAAAAAACCTAAGAATAAATCAACTCACAAAGGTGATATTAATTTATGTGCTTTTTTTTTTTTTGGCTGCATGTGGTGGAAAACTAACATGGCGCATCCCCCCGAACCGAACAAGCTGGACTTGGTGATGGCAGCACCAGGCTGCAGGGTTGCTTATTTTCTTCCCAGCAGCAGTTAAATAAGAGTTGATGGGAAAATGGATTGAGCAAACGCACAGAGCAATTCTGGAAAGTAATCTGTCAGAAGTTGCACAAGACATGACATGGGGAGAGGTTCACCTTCAAACATTATGGAACGGTTTAAAAGACATTTGAGTATTCACATCAGACTCGAATTGAATTGAGAATTTGTGAAAAGATTTGAAGATAACTCTTCCCATCCTGATATATTCTACACAAAAGAATGCCCCAAAATGTTGGTTTCTGGATGTACAAGGTTAAGGGGCCAATACTCAAAAAGTCCTGCTGCTGAATTTGCAGCAAAATGTTTTATTATTTATTTATTTTTTTTTTTGCAAAATAGTGGGGCTGAACACAAATGAATGCAAACACAATTATCCTCCACTTTCTGTTTGTCTATCACACAAAATCTCCCCCAGATTAATAATAATAAAAAGCGTTTGTGGTTGTAATGAGAACAGTTTTAAAAATGCTTAAGGAGTGTGGATCTTTTTGCAAGATAATATATGGAAAAATCCAAGGATTTTCAAACGTTTCACGTACAGTCACAGAATTCATAAATAATCTCGAGTGTGTGTAGCTCCAACAGCCATCATAAAGGATCATGTCCTGCAGAACTAGGGACTAATGCCAATACTCCTGCAGGACTATTCATTATTTTTTCATTCTTTTATTTTTTTTGGAAGATCCTTTTGGCATGTAGGATGATTTAAAACTTTCCGTAGTAATAAGATCCCAATAGCAAAATAAATCATTGTATGGGCTCTATTGGAATAACCACCCTTTGTTTGAGCCAGTATTACACCATTTACAACTAGACTTCTTTGGCCATATGGTGAACATGAGATGTAACAGTAAAGGAACGAAATAACTCAAACAGTGGTGGCCTTTGCTTTCCTTGTTGACCTAACTCATTGTCAGCATATACCTTTAGGAAAGTAAGGAAACTTTTTCGCGCTTGGATTATCATAAACTAGCTTAGACCTTCCTTCCAAGTGGGGGGGAAAAAAAAAAGAATTTAGTTTTTTAAACAAGCAATGTGGCAAAACAAAGCCGATAATACATAAAGCTCACTTTAATGGACAGATAATTAAAACAAAGTTTGTGACTGACTGCTGGCCATGTGAATTAGAAGAAATATGGGGGTTAGTTATGATAGCTGCCCAGTAGGTGGCAGTGTACGGAGTTACACTTCAGAATCAGAAGGCCAAGATGAAGAGCTGTGTCCTTTCACAACCCTTGTAATGCAAAGGGTATTATGAAACATTGTGATCTTTAGTGATGAACCACCTTACATCTATACCATATTTAATTTTATGATTGAACATTCTGAGCTATTTAGTGGTATTTGTGAGTTAAATTGATATATTTTTTTTGTTTTTCTTACCGTTGATCCTTTTACTCCGGGTGGTCCGGGAAGGCCCATTTCTCCTCGATCTCCCTAAAATGCACAAGTATGAAATTTAGTTTCAAGTGTAGAAATAAAATAATCCATTTGTTTTCATTTCCTTTTATTTTGGTCTTACCTTCTCTCCTGCCAGCCCTGCCTCTCCCACAGGTCCGATGAATCCCATCAATCCCTGAAATGTTAAAAAAACTCAGCATTGGATGGATGAATGGAAAGAGTTTCCTGGATAAGTGGCTGGGGTGTGTGTGTGTGTGTGTGAGGTGGGGTGGGGGGGGAGGACCATCATTCAACACAGGAAGGAGCAATGTCAGGAATTCTTACTTGTTCTCCCATGGACCCAACTTTTCCTGGGACACCGGCTTCTCCCTGCAGATGCAAATCCACTGTCATTCATTGAGTTATTATGAAACGTGCATCGCTTCTGTAGTTTTGGAAAATGGAAAAGAATGGCAAATGAGTTTGAGTTTATTCACCTTCACTGCCTCCGGGCCAACCTTCCCAGGAAATCCTTTTCTTCCCATTCTACCCTGAAAAACAAAAAAAGAGCCGTAGAATAACTAACAGTGAGGAACAGACATTCACTAAGAAGTGAACGCATCGTTAACATTCATCACAAACTCTCTGTGAATGGAAAGGGTCTGTTTACGGGATGGGCAGTTTAAAGAGAGATCAGTGGAAAATCTCCAGTGTGCACGCTGGTGACATAGTCAGGTAATGCTGACGGGACATTTAGGCAGGCTGCAAAAGTCTTCAGTGACTGAAAACTGTTTCTTTGTTCTTTTTTGTTCTGAACCAGCAATACCTCTAGGTCAGAAATGTCTCAGCCAAACTCCGTGAGACTGAGTGACTCAGTATTTCCAAAGTTTTAGCTCACATAGGTTGGCAGCCGTTTTAAATAGTTAAATCTTACACTTTATTTCACTCAAACAGCCAATAAAAGTCAATTTAGGTTGCAATATGAGGATGAATAGTTGCTCTCCTGGACTTGTGACTTCCTGTTACTTGATTTATATTCATGTCTGCAATTTTATGACCAAACTGATTGAAAAAAAAAAAATAAATAAATAAATAAAGAAAAGGTGCAGTGCCAAGAGGGAATGCAAGGAGCATCATCTAAAAAAAATGTACAGTCGCTGGAAAAAAGGAAGGTAAGGATGAAGGCTCATTCCTGTTAGAGCAGTGAATGTACAGGTCTACTCGCGGCACCTGGCCAGGGATAAATCACAGCTCCCGCAGGAGCCAAACTCTACTTCCCCTCGGACAGAAGACAAGAAACTGAGTCAGATTATGAGACAAGCAGGTGGGCGGAAGGTGGGCAAGCGAGGAGGGAGTCAGACTGATAGAAAGTGCAGAGAAAGAAAGGAAGATTCACAGGTTACATCTGGGATAACAATTAAGTCAGAAAACTAAATTGAAAACATATATAACAGAGTATGTTTTTTCATCAGTTAATAAAATGTCTGAAATAAAAATAAAGTAAAAAACTATATTTGCTATTTCCACTTTCCAGTGTTTTTATATTAGCTATAAATCTGAGTCATGATCTCTGACCATGGTGATGAACGCTATCACCCCCTGGCGGCCAAAGTGAAGGACTACACATGTTGCAATAGAGACTTGCAACGGTCTCAATAAAACGGCAAACACGCAATTTCTTTTATTTGTCCTGAGAAATTGAAAAAAAAAACTAAAATAAACTTTTTTTTATCACGTTACTGCTGTCTATGATTAAAAAAGAGGCACAATAAACTTTTGCATGCACAATTAAATATGAGTACTAACACTGAACTGCATTTAATAAAGACGGCTGAGGCATGACATTTTTACTGACCAATTTATTGATTTCCCAGCAATGTTGCTATAAAGCTACTAACTTTCTTTTTAAAATGACTAAATGCAGGCGTTGATGAACAAACAACACACGAGGACGAAGATATCATTAACAAAACTACAGTAGGAGTCATGTCTGTAATATAGAACAAAACGATTTAATATAATCACTGTGGACAAATTATTTAATGTAGGAATTTGCAGCTAATAAAAAAAAAAAAGAAAACCAGTTTGTTAAACTTATGTGTTAATTTGAAAGGAATAGCCAGATTTGAGGAGATTAAAGAGTTAGCACTTATCATTTCTATCTTAACTTTGTACAATCAAAAAAAAACAAAAAAAAAAAACACAGATTAATTTATTATCTCACCTCAAGTCCTGATGGTCCCGGTGGCCCGATCGGACCCTCGTCTCCCTGGAAACAGAGAACACAGATTTCAACACAGTTTATGTTTTTGGGATATCAAATGTCGCTAGCTGAAGACGGGGCTGGTGCAATGAAATGTTAATGTCTTCCCTTGATGTTGGGTAGCGTCGGTCAGAATTACCTCTAGGCCAGGAATTCCTCGGGGCCCCGGTAAACCTCGGTCTCCTATTTTTCCCTTGATTGGGGGGGAGAAATGCAGTTGTCATCAATGCTGGGGTGTAAATTAGGGTTTTAACACACAAGTTTTCAGCCAAGGTACAGTAATTCTTAAAAAGTTGATTTCTACTGAGTTTAACAATAGTGGAAATCCCTGCTGTGCCTCAACAAGAACGGAGGGCAAACTGCCATGTTCTGATTGTGCTTTAAGTCATGCTTGTTGAAAGCTGAGCATGTCAAGTGGACGGTTTAACTCACCTTTGGTCCTTCGACGCCGTTCTCTCCCGGTGGTCCCATGTCACCAGGGAAACCCTGTCACCAGCAATAAGAGAACGGCCATCTTTTTTGTTTCAGAGTAACGCTAAACATCCCCAACAGAGCAGATCAAGGTGCAGACACTAACCTCGGGGCCTGGTGGGCCAGGTGCTCCATCGGGACCTTTCTCTCCTAGTTTCCCCTATGAAAACAGTAGCAGAATGAATGTAATGAAATATTTTTGTGCCAGCATTGTGCTCATGTGCAAATGTGAAGTGCTAAAACTTTATTTTATGCTTTTTCTTTTATCCATATGCATACTGCATGACAGAGATACCAGGTGTGCTCAGTTGTCTACCAGATGACAAGGTTTATATTTGAAATGATTTCCCCAGGCCTTAAAAAGAGCAACAGGTCCACAGCATCACTGATCCTCTACCATACTTAACAGGAAGCATGAGGTGAGGTGAGTTTTTACACCAAACTCAGCTGGAGCCCCATTTGATCTAACACACTTCTAGATAAAGTCTCAAGAAAACATGTTTTTTTCTTTCCTGACAAGCCTCCCAAATACACAAGCACAAAAATATTCTCACCCCTGGCAGAAATAAACTTCAAATTATTCAAGTTGGAAGTTTGTGTCTTGAGACAGACATGGAGGACAATTTACTTCAAATATCAGTTTTTAGTCACATTTGATTAAAAATGCAGGTAAATGACCAGCCTTTTTCATGTTTCCACTGGCATAGTGATAGTTTATCCATCTAACTTAATCTTTAGCTCCCTCCACAGATTTTCTATGACACTCGAGTCTGACTGGGGCTTTTAAAATGCTCAGGAAACTCGCGAATAACAAATTTAAAGTTCCTAAGCATTATCATCAACTTAAAAGAAGTGAAGAAAAAATTTAAAAGTGCTACAGTTACATTTAATTTGAAGGAATTGTTGGATCAGGTCAGATGAAAATGAAAGGCTTTTTTTCCATTATCAGGTGTGTCCAATAAAAAAGAACAAAAAAAAAAAAAACCTGATTACTTTTTATGTTTAATAGTAAATGTGCAGCACTTAAAAAGAAAAAAAAAAGAAATCACATTAAGAGATTAAGTCATGTTAGCTGATCTGACTTTAAGCCTTTAGTATAGACCTCAAGATAAAAAGTGTTATGCAAACATTTTAACATATTAAAGTAATCTTTGTGAGTGCAGTCCGATCAGATCTAACCTGTGGTCCTGGTTTCCCACGAATTCCCGGTAAACCTGGAGCTCCTTGGATACCCTAACCGGGGTTAAACAATACACATTAAACAAATAGGATCCAATAAAACTCCTAAACAAAACACTTGATTCCTCTTTAAGGAAACAGACATTAGACATGCATGGTTCTCCTCCCTACACTGTATCTCTTGAGGCCACGTCGGTCTCTGTTGGACTAGGTTTTACTTACACACACAGAGAGACAAATGTGAAAGACTGACATAAGAGTTTCCATAAGGTGGACAGCAGACATCTGGCTAAGTCATTTTGTGGAGGCAGCAGCGCAACAACGGTTGTGTAACAAGGGATATGCATGATTGAAGGCGAGTGTGCACACAGAGGCATAATGAGGTCTAGTCAGTGGGGGGGATTTGTGAGAGGATTTCCACTATAAAATGTGTTGCAGAAGTTGCCTACCTTATCTCCTTTGAACCCAGTCTCCCCCTGCTGTCCAGGAATCCCAACGTCCCCCTGATATGCAGAGAACGATGCAGACGCACAGAGGATGACGAATGAATTGTGGACAACCAATCCATGCAGGATTGTGGACAAAATATAAAAAAAGAGAGAAAAGTAGAAGAAAAACATTAGGGAAGGGGGCGTAACAGTGTACCTTATAAATACTCTACTTTTTTTCAACATAAAAAACAAATTAGTGCCCCATAAATTGCAACTGTCAATGCACAATGACTGCAGCTCAATGGATAAGCCAAGGTTTTCATGTGGTGTCAATCTGTCTGATAACAGTCGCTTCGTTCCACTCCGCCATGTGTTTCAGAGAGTAAGTCAGGTTTCACCAAATTGAGAACTGCGGCAATTTACTAATTTTAGCTCCACTCTGAACGGAGACGACCAAAATGAAACGTTACTATTACTGGTGGAAGAGATGTTTTGAAATCTGTTTGGGTTTCCTCATCTTCTGATTAAACTGTAGATGTTTTTCTGAATCTCAGTCAAACGAACCTGGAACGCTAGCAAATCCTTTATGCGGTTCAACTGAACTCATTTACACTCAACATTTGTAAAATTATAAGAAATCTAATCTCAAAAAATCTACAAACTGGATATTAAGAGAGTCCTTTTTCTGATGTAAACATATCAGATGAGTCACTTCATGACATTTTCCATCTCTAATGTGACGCATATCCTTTTGTCATTCAACTGAAAAACATACAAATCTGTAGACGGGGGGAAAACACAAAACAACTGTGACAAATGTTCTCTATAACTGCTAAAAGGACAGACAAACAATGGTCATGGAGGCTGCCAAGAGGCCCCCAGTAATACTAAATGAACTGCAGGATTCTCTGATTAGTACTGCCAAAATCAACAGTGAGCATCAGCAAATAAGCAAAATATACAATATGAGACACGGAGGTGGCAGCATCATGCTGTGGAATTAGAGTCCTTTTGACTGAGCTAGACTTTCTGACAAGGTGGATTCACTCGTAAGCAGCTATAATAGGCTGCTTAAATTTCTTTGTTTTCCCTCAAACAGACATGCTTGTTGTTCGTCCGGTTGAACAGGATAAATTCATACTATGTCACATCACGTGTTTAGAAAGTACTTCAGGCTCTTTGATTTTTCTGTTACAATAATGTGGCATTTTAACAAAGTGTGCAACTTTTGAGCCACTCTAGGGCCAAATTCAGTTCAAACCAATCCAGTTCATTCTAATATAACTCCATCATACAGTTTCATTCAAATTCAAATACATGAAGCAAAATGGCTCCTAATTTCACTGCAGTACAATAGAGCTTTATTTGTGTTTTTTTATGTTGTAATAGTGTTATCTTTAAAAAGTGCACAAGCTTAAATTTTTTAAAGTGCTTCAGAATGTGAAATGTTTCAAAGACCGATCCTTTAAATGGTTGGTCACATTCAGTGTTCAGACGAAAGGTGGAAAATGTAAGATTTCTCGCAAATGCAGATCAGAAAAATAACATGGCAGCCAGGTTTGAAGAAAACCTTCCAAGAGTCTTGTTGTAACAATGTAAATAAAAAAAAAAAATAATAATAATAATAAAAAAGTCTGTTTTAGTAGTGAATTTCTAATTAAAGTGTGCTTAATATCTAAAGGCTGGGTACATTTGCATACAAAGAGCACATGATAATCACATGCTGCATATAACACAGGCCAATAACAGGAATATTGAGATCACCTTATCACCTTTCAGTCCTGGTTCTCCAGAATTTCCGGGTACCCCCTGGAGAAAAGACCCACATGCAGGTTAGAGTTACAACATACAGTTCGCTTAGAGGACAACAGACCAGGAGTGGGTAGTCCGGGTCCTGGAGATGTGTCCCTGCTTGAACACACCTGAATCATGGAGTGGTCGTTAGCGTACGCTTGCAGAATTGGTGTCAGGTTGAGGAAACAAGTCAGCTATTTTATTCAGGTGTGTTGGAGCAGGGCCACACATGATACATGCATGACGTCTGCTTTCAAGGACCAGCAATGACCTGTCCTTGCGACTCCAACCATTCTTTTGTTTTATAGCACATTAACAAGCAACCATTGACAAGCAACGCAAGAATGGACTTTCCGTCTGTGCGTTTCAGAGATTACCTTGAGTCCAGCCGGTCCGGGAGGGCCCATTTCTCCCACCGGTCCCATATCGCCCTAAAGCCAGGAAAAAGAGAGGGAAAAGACAATAACTGTTTAGTGATAACACATGCATAAAGCAGAGATATGTTCAAAAAACATTCCTTTAGCACTTACACAATGTGAACAGTATCTAATTTTGTTTATCAACTGCAAGAACAAAAATCATTGCTTCCAGATCGTCCATACACATATCACGCTGCAGAGAAGAATGCATGATAATATGCGAACGTTCACAGGCCAAGATTATGATTAATCTCCAGCCTGAAATAAAGGAGTTTTGGCTGCGTGTGTCTAATGTTTGCCTCTTTGAATGGGGCTGTATCTCCACATGTGACAAAGTAGATTATTTAAGAATATGGCACCGAAGAAGTCCCCTAAAACAAATCAGATCCTTTGGCATCGAGACCTCAGATGGAGAAAAGCTTCTTCCTGGTTATTTGGGAACATCTAATGCAGAGGAATGATGTTATGAAGCAGTGCTTTGAAAATGCTTTTTTTTTATTTGAGCTTTTTCACATTTGTCACAAAACAACCACTAGCTCAAATGCGTTTAATTATTTCACTGATGTTAAGTCACGGACCAACACAAAGTAGCATATAATGTAATATATTGTGAAGCAGAGTAGAAGGACACATGGTTTCCAATTGTTTTTTTTGTTGTTGTTTTTTTCAAAAATAAAAATATAAAAACTGCAGCATTTGTGATCAGTTTATATTTTGCAGATGCATTAACTCAGTCCAGTTACAGCTGCAAGTCATTTGACTTTGACTAGACCAAGAACATTCTTTGATTTGATCCCTTACACCGTAGGGGAACTCTTGCCTGCTTCTCTGATTACAGCAATTATTGCCCAGTTTGCCAGTTTAGGAGGACGGCCTTGTCCTCATAGTTTTGGAAGACGCCACACTCCATTTTTGGACGAGTTAAACAATGCCCCACTTCATGTCCAGCGCACTGGGCATCTTGAGCTGGTGCATTTCTTGTTCTTCAGAATATTATTTAGTTCATGATGTTTTCTGACAAACCTCTGATGTCTTAAATTAAATTTCACAAAAATGAAGCTTCTCCATCTATTGGACTGTGGATTTATGTCACTGGATGAGCAAAGGCAACCCACAACCAACAGATATACCGAGAGATTTTGGAGAAACCATTCACTATTATTGGAGAGTCGACTGTTCCTCCTGCACATTCCGTCCATATTCCCATATCCCATTTGTTTTAATGGGTTTTTATCTAGTAAGGGTGGCTGAATACCAACGCATAGCATCTTTTTCATATTTTTGTTCTGAAAGCATTTGGAAACCGTGCATCATGTTCCACTTCACACTACTTTTTATTGATCTATCAATAAGCCATTGAAGTTTGTGCCTGAAAAATGAAAATATATGGAAATTAAGGTGTAGAAATATTTTTTTTTTCAAAGAGCTGTGAATTATAAGCTACAAAGCTCCTAGGTTTAAATTTAGGCCAGAACAATCTGTGCAGCCAAGAAGCAAAAAAAAAAAAGAAAGAAAAAGTTACTTTAAGGACATGGCCTAGAAATTACATTTCTGACACTTGTAATGAGAGACAAGGAGAGAAAACTTCTGTCTTTTGTGTTTGGAGTTGCGTAAACAAGAACAGCTGTCTAGACATTTTCTGCTTTCCTCAGTGGCCAGCCGTCATTTAAAGCTTTCAGCAATGACTCCCCAGAGGAGGGTATTTGTATACTTAAATCATTTAAGTGTGGCTCATTGCTGCTGGTACGGCATGCAGTGGAGTCAGATGGGTGTAGAGGACATGAATGTGGAGTGGGAGCTATAATCAACCAGTCCCCCGATTACAGGCCTTCTACAACCGCTAGTGGCCTAGAATAGACCAGGAGGAGCAGCAGTGACAGCTGAGGATGGGACACAACAAGAGAAACCAGTGAGACATTATAATCAGGTCCAATTATGTGGCTGTCGGGCCGGAGAGGCATCCAGGGTAAGGTGATGGGTGGGCGGCCGGCAGCTACTGGACGAAAATAGTTAATTTGAGGAGGATTCCTAAAAAGAAGATGATGCGCTTTGAGAATTTTGTTCGTTCCAACAAACTTTTGAGAACTGTCAACCGTGCACTCGTCGTTTACAATCGATCCTGGCTCTGTATTTCTAATATGTTCACGGCGACCTTCAGATTGTGGGCGGTTTATCACAAAAGTACCTGGCGGAGTAAAATGACGACGGGATGAAATTGGGGGTGAACTACTCACAATTAGTCCAGGGACTCCGTTCGGACCCGGGGCTCCTAGGCCACCCTAATCAGAGAGGAAAGATGGAAGGAGCAGGAGAGGCACAAGTGTTATTAGCATTAAAAAAAAAACAAAAACAAACAAAAAAAACCCCACGAATTCAGTATTCACTGAAGCTTATGAAAGGCCGACGTGTGCATGATTTGGTGTATACGTATGTGTTAAAGGTAAAGGTGGTGCGGCATGTGAGCCCCATCATCTCATTCCTGATTTTTAAAATATTTAGGTTTGCTACAGCTCAAAAGTTAAGAAGGAGCACAAAATATGTATCTCAATGTTAATGGTAGCTTAATCCTTTCTTTAAATCATCAAATATGAACAAAACTAATTTTCTTTTAGTCAAAAAAGTCAACATCTACCAGATAACAAGTTCAGTAGTCAGTCCAGACTCTTCCTTCATCAGTGAAGAGTTCATTTGCAATGAAAGACCAAAAAAAAAAAAAAAAAAAATGTGTGCAGAAATATTTAACGATATTTTGACCTCTTACTGATTTTCTTTACAGTGGAATGTCACCATTTTTGTAGTTTTGGTAGATTTTAAGCAAGATAAATAAATATGTTAACATGTCTCAGTCATAATTTTGCATTTTGTGGTTCCCAGTTTGACTCCGTGCATCTGCTGCACATCTGTGCTGTTGATTGATAAACATTGCATTTTAAATGCTGTTTTTAGAAATAATTGAACAGATTTGTGTGTACACATTATGTGCATACAAGATGTGTTTATTTTGGCTGTGTGCTGTGCGAATTTTTGGATTTCATGTGTAGCATCTGTTTTTACTAGTTGCTAAATAAATTTCCATTTTATGTCGACTGAATTTTCAATTTTTCCAGCTGCAGATAAAATAATATAAACCACTGATTATCAGAGCTATCACTTTCTAACATATTTATTTACTGTTGTTATTTAAAAAGCAATCAAAAATCTAGAATCTGATCTTAAAATATATTTTAGAGTTAAATTATTGGCTTTTAAGTTCTTGTGATGCAGAATATTTTACATTTTGATGTCGTTCTGCTTCAGGTTTACCAGAATTGCTTCCAAGTGGCTGAATGCGTTATTTCGTAACTACAGGGGAAAGCGTAGGAGCCTTTACTCGGCCAGGTGTCTGGCAGTGGGCAACAATAAACGGTGGAGGGGCAGACCTGTCTTACTCTGTAAGCTCCTTGTATTAAATGGCCTTTGCAACAAAGGGATGAAATGATGAAAAAAACGTTTTGAAAGCATACAATTACATATGCCCAAGTATAACTTTGTGATAGTAACTGGCCCCTTTCTAGTTGGATGACAATACTTATTCTCAGAAAAATACAGAGTAAGAATCTAATAAGACGAGGTATTAGAGTAAATCCCTTATCTGGAAGCCCAAACCTTTGGGGGAGTGAAGCTGGTGTTTTTCTCTAAACATAAATGCACCTTATGTTCATTATTCAATTATAGGTGGGTCAAACTGCAAGTTGCTGGCAGTCTTGTATTTTTCCATTCAGGCAGAAGAAGTGGCACATTTGTAAAAAATTACAGTGAATATACAGAAAATACTATTTGCATGTGATCTCGAAAGGCTGCATTGCTGAATTACATGCAATTACTCATACTGACATCTTATTACATCATTTGGTGTTTTCAGGATATGAGGTTGTAAATAGGTCTACATGTGTGGTGGTGGACGGTTCACAGTAGTGAACGGAAACTGCTCACCACTTAACAGTGTGGGCTTTTTGAAATTGAAAGCCAACTTAAATTGTTTTCAACAGACCCAAAGCATGGGATGAAACTGAAAACACTAGTAAATCTTGTCCTGGGTAATTTCAAACAAGACAGAGAAGACAAATGGGTAGAAAGCCACATCGTATAGGCAGCAGCTAAAACGCCGGGGGGAACACTAGTCTGTGTGCGCGGCTCGGAGCTAAGCTCTCACTCTCAGCTCGTGTGTGTAAAAATGTGGACCGGAAATGGTTTTACGTGTGTGGTGGGTTAATGTGGAACATACTGGCTCTCCATCTGGTCCAGGTGGCCCTCTCTCTCCAAAGTCCCCTGGAAACCCCTGAGAACAAAGAGAACAACTTCAATTCTATGGAACCATTAGGTATGTAAGAAATGAATTTGCTACCACTTGGTGGCGACAAAAACAAGCAATTAGGGTTGCTTAGATTGATAACGTGACGTTTAAAAAAAAAAAAAAAAACTTGGACGTGAATTACACATCCAGCATTTTACAGATTGTTGTCAGCTTTTACAATAGTGCTTGATATTAGGTTAGGTTTTTTTTTTTTTTTTTTTGCTTAGTATTCGTAACTCAGTAACTTTTGTAAAACATATCAAGAAGTTAAAGGACTAGGTATTAGCTAAGTATGAAGGCATGGACAAATCTTTGGGCATGCCTGCTAAAGATGTGTAAAAAAAGAAAAAGAAAACAAAGAAAAATAAGATAAATTCTATTGGTACATTTATTCAGTGACGAAAAAAATATTTGTATATTCATATGTATCTTGCTATGACTCACAGTAAGCAGGACAGTAGAGGAGGTGAAAAAAATCAGCACTGTAACAAAGAGTGGCGTCTCTGGGTCACCAAGTCTCCATAGCAACCATTAGACGATATCTCTATGCCAACCGGTTGTTCGGAAGGGATTGCATCCCTTTCATTTTCTGTCCTAACACGCAAAAACGTAAACATGTGGAGTTTGCTAAATGCAACTGTGATTTTCATTGGAACCGTGCGGTTTGGTCAGAAGAGACTGACTGTACAGCACAAGTAACCTTTGACGTTCGTTTTACACAAAGGCTTGCTGCAAGTGAACGCAAAGCAAATCATTTCGATCCCCATCGCCAAGGCAGAACATTTCCAAATACCGCTTTAATAACAAAATCTTACAATTTAAATTTAGACAAACATTTACCTGTTTAATCTTTTTGCTGAACAAATAAAGCTCTGTTGCTGCAAAAGTAATTGTAATAATGTTACCAGGTCAACTGCTTAAAATGAGCCTGTTATGGTCCTATTAAAAGCATTAAATCTATTAACTTTAGGGTGTAGGTAGCTTGTTGTTGGTAACTTTAAACTTTAGATGGGGAGAAAGTGAGCCAAGCAATTATTCTGTCCATTTAGCAGTAATCGGGAGGCTAATCTAAGCTTTACAAAACATTGGTGCTGGAGCAGAGAGCAACCACATCTGCAAAAAGCCCTACCGCTAACAGCTTTGGTACCGAGACGATTCAGCGCTCATAATGACTACTTTTCACTACGCTGGCCTCGATGCATTGTTTTAACATGATAATTACTGTGACCTCCAGATAATGTCAGTTATTTCTGTCGGAGCGGAGATTGCTCAGATAAACTGCATGTATGTTTTATTTTAATCGTTGAGTCATCTTAGAAACACAATCTCCCGACTAAATGTAGCTCTTTGTGTTTGACATTTCAATTCGAAGCAAAATGAGTCAGGGAGAGGTTTTGTTTTTCATTTAATTTAATAGAGGAGGGAAAAAAAAAGGATAATTGAGACTCTTCATGAACCAACAAAAAAACATGGAAAATATAGTGTGAGTGACTGGGAAGCTTAAAGAAGAAATGCAAGTGTGATGGAAATCAATTAAGTGTTGGTGATTTTTGTGTGACAAAGCAGACAGATGTGATGCAAATCTGCTTTTTTTTTTTTTTTTTTTTAAATATATTTGAATTCTTTTGCTAATCAGAACAGTCCATGCCCGATCTTTTCACCCAGGAAAAAAAGCCACTTCCATATGTGCCATTAAATCAGATAGTTTGTTTCTGATTATTTTCAAAGCGCCTGCCGTCAGACTGGTCATGCCACATTTTATCCGACTTTTACGTCATCAATACGCGACATGCGGCATGCATCCAGATGTGAATATTTGCTGAAAACTGTATCTATAAAATTATGAAAGCAGTGCATCACATTCCAGTCCCACCACTCCTGACTCTGAATACACATCCAAACAGACTCCTCTGCAGAAGTTGCAGAAAATGCCACAGAAAAGTCTGCTGCTGTTAGTTGCGCTTCATTTTTATAAGCTCCTTTTGTCTCGTTGTGATCTTGTGACAATACTGTCAGCTCCCATTGCTCAATAGACTTTAAAACATATATGGCTGGACTCATTGTTACTTCTGGAAACATTACGCTGTTGTGTGACATCTAAGTTCTTCTTCTGCACATGTGAGTTGTAAATCATTCGTACAGATGTTTGATCGTGGTCGCATTTAATTAATAAGTAATAATTGGATTTTGGCAAAAAAAAAAAAATCAAGAGCTGTGTGAACAGAGCTTTAGTGACCCAAAAGCTGAGGAGCTTAGGTTCTTTTACTGGGGACATAAAAAGAGCTATTGGCATGTTGCAAAAATAATTCAAAACAAATTGTATACATCTCAGGATAGCTCAGTACTAAGTTCTGTAAAACGTTTGAAAACTGTTACTATCTTAGTCAAATTTGCTTAAATTCCTCTTATTTTGAAATAGCTAGTTATAGAAAGTTAAGGATGATCCATTAAATAGTTTAAACTTAAATGTTTACTGTCATCTGAAGTGTTTCACATGATCTGTTCTCACTCTCACTTTCTACCTCCATTCACCATGTAAACAGTTCCCGGCTTCCTTATAAATAACATGACAATAGTTTGAAAGGCCATGAGGTTCACTTAAACCACAGAGGTCTTTTTAGGGATTAGTTATTTTCAGACCCCAGAGGTCAATTTTGTCCTTGACTCTAAGCTGCTCATTAATTACAGCCTCCATCAGAGACTTGAGGCCCCGTTTGCACGGAGCACCGCTTGTTAGAAACCCTAGCATGTTTGTTGCAATCCAGCTGCATGTTTACATGTCTCCAAGTTGATCGGATTCTCAGATGGCAAGACGTTTTGAAACCAGGTTGGGGTAATAGTTTTCGGGAAGTACTCTGGATTTGTCTGAAATTCAAATTCAAAAGAGTTATTTACGGCAGGTCAGATATGAACTGCTTAAAACATCTGAAGATAGTCTTACTTTAAAAATCCTGGAATAATTACTTTAAGGAAACCTTCTCCCTCATGTAACATAAAAAAACCCCCTTTTATTCAGTAACAACTTCAAACAGATTCATGCACAATTAAAAAAAAAAACGACACTGAGTTTGACAACAGGGAAAGAGAACTGCCAAAAAACCAAATACAGATATATTATTTAAAAAAAAAGAAGCATCAAATTGAGAAGGAGAACTGCTGGGAAAGTTGTTGCACGCTCTCGATCGTTTTCGATGTATCTGGGTCTGTGGGAAATGACAGAACGTGTGTCTGCGTGCGCGTGCTTCCTTGAGAGAGAACAAGCACTGCAGTTATGGTCATTAAAATGTCTGGCTCAGGTTTGAACAGTTCTCCTGTTTTTCCTCCTGGAAGATGAGGGCGATCTCTTAAGGATCATCCGGCCAAACGGCCTCACACTCCGTTTTTTCCTACACGAGCAATTAGGTGCGGATTCCAAAACCACTGAAATTACATAATTCCTCCTGACACCTTCTTCTCACCTCCTCCGTAAACACAAACAAACCTATAGCCATCGTGTTGAACACAGTGATGCCTCAAACGCACAGCTACTGCTGTCATACATCATCTGCAATGTGCTGCAGGAGGGGAGCGATAAAAATGTGACGGCAACTCTTCTACGCAAATGTTTTTAGCTTTATATGATCTGTGAAACAACCAGAAGAAATGGTTTTTATGGCAGAAACGTGTCAGTCTGCCAGCCTTATAGAAAACGTGTATGCAGAAAAGGCATCTCCAACACTTTAGTAAAACGCAAACAAAGCCACAAAAATGTTATAAAGCGTCCATACTGTCGTCCTATGTAGCAATGTTTTCATAGTTTAATTGTCGCTTCTAAAAGCTTCACATTAGGAACCTCCCGCCCGTCTCGTTAGAGTGTTCAGAAGTTTTGGCAACACAAATATCATATTTACTGAAAAGTCAATAAGCAACAGCTGCAAAATGATCTCAGCGGTGTGTTTTGGGGTTACACAGTTCAATGCATTCTTTCAGACTGACTTTAAACACTACTTAACACACACACACACAAAAAACCCCTGCAACCAGCAAACTCCTCACTGTGCATAGTGGCAAGATAAACATAATCCACTTCCAGCAAGAGCTGCTTTAAAATTTTAAAACGTTGCATGCAGAGCATGAAGAGCATGTTTTTTTTTTGTCTTTCCTATTTTATTTGAAGAGAAAGTACAAGAAATATGCCTCTGCGAAAGGGTATTTAACACGTTGAAAAGTATTACCTGTGAAAGAAATACAGTTATAATTACGGCATTAGTTACATTAGTGAAGCGTCCATACATTTGTGAAAATGTATTATTTCTTTGTTGGGGAGTTTTTTTTTTTTCTGAAGTTGTTCAGTTTACTTAAAGGCTGAATTTTTCAAAGCTAATTATGACATCATACCGCTGCCTTAAAAGATGAATTTATTTCAAGGCAGATTGTGGAAGGTGTGGGTCATTTTTACAATACAAAGCAATAGTTTTTATTCTCGCATTACCCAAGACTCCTTATCTCTAGAGGAAATGTACAATGAATTTGCCCGAGTATCAGTGAGTACCAAGTGGAGAGAAGGGCCATTCTTTTGTGATGAAAGATAACTTCATTGACATATTTGTGGCCTTTGTGCTCAGCACTCTTTTCTCACACTGTGAATACATGTTTTATGTCTAAGCAGCCTTAAACAATGTGTGCTTTCGCTAGTCTTTAAAATTGGCTAATAATAAATTTGCTAGATATATACCTATAGATAATAAAGTTGCTAGATTTGTCAAAAGTTGCTTTGTTTGAAATGTCACTAAAGTGGGTCTGAAAATGTACTAAATATAAAAACAAATTGGGAACAGTGGCAAGCACTTCGAATTTTGACTTCAGTGGATTTTCTGTTGATTTTGTCTTTCTTTTTGGAACTTAAAAATTCAAACTTTTGCCAAACTTCTAGTGCCAATGTATAAGAACAGCATTTATTATCTCAAAAGTAAAAAAAAAACAAAAAAACCCCCTAAAACAACAAAAACCTCTTGTGTTACTGTCAACGTGTCGTTCAGTGCGGAGATACTTAAAACAACCTTTCTTGAAATGGTACTGGTTATGAAAAGTTGAGAACCTCTGCATTAGTGTAACACATCTTTGTATGATTTCCACATGAGTGTGATATTTGAGTTTTACTTTATGCAAACTGCAAACTTTGGTTCACGTGATGGATCATGATTTATGGTTTATATGTCTGTGAGGTGTGGAAGTGGTTTTAATAAACACGTCCAGTAAAAAAAATATATATATATATATATACACATAAAAGCTTATCATAACACACATGATCACATTTAAGAATGATTATCTGTAAAGTATGTTGAGACAAAACTTTACCGGCCTACCCATCTTGCCCCTCTTCCCTGGTTCACCCGGAATTCCCTGAAAATCCAAACGTCGGGAGGGCAGAAAGAGAAAAAAAAAAAGAGTTCAAGAAGGACAGAAAAGAAAGACACAGAAGATGAAGTCAGTGAAAAATACGCAAAAGACATATCACAACTAAAAACGCTCACGGGCGGCACTGATTTGAGCTCCAAACACACCATTAAAAAGCTGCGGCATTAAGTGTCTCCCGCTTCATCCGTCGCCAGATGTGAGGAGCAGCTGACTGCAGCCCGTTAAGCATGCTTCCTTATGCAGGGTTTTCTACACTTCTATTGAGAACAACCACAAGTTTCTCTGGGGTAGACAGGCACTGTAGGGTTTATGACCCATTTTGTTGTCTGGTGATGAAGGGGTCCTGATTACAGCCTCCCCTGCTGTGACGCAACCCCCCAACCCACCCAGATCATGCTATAACTTGGTTAATCGCTTTGTCTTTTCGAGGCTGTACACAAGCAGTGGGCGTGGAGTTCAGGCAGTTCAAAGGTTTCAAGCGTGGGGGTGGGGGGGGGTTATCATATGAGTCATCAGCACTCCCACACACCAACATCCTAGACAGCTGGAAATTACATCTCCTGTTATAACAACTTCAAAACAGCTGAATGGAATTGGCAGGAGAGCCATCGTTTTTTTTTTTTTTTTTTT